TCCATCCCACACATCATAAGCTAAACACTCCTGATGTAAATCATATTCATGTTAAAGTTCATTTTAAAATCACAGCTCTAATGCTAATTCTGTGGTCAACGCCTCAAATTTTCAAGTTTGGTGTTAGTCAATTTTCCACCTTCCTGCCCACCATAAAATAACATTAAAAATTCCCTCATACCATATAATGGTCACAAACGCATAATAAACCCAGCTTCCTGTATTTGTAAACATCAGTTCCTCACAACATCTTCATCAGGCCATCTTTTACACATTCTGTTGAAATGGATTTTGGCAGTATGTCAGGTATATAATTGCTTAAATAAATGCCATACTCACGTTAGCTGCTATGGCTTTACCAGTGTAGGATGTGACAGGTCTCAATGCCACTTGGATAGCATTAAAGAACTCTGGAAATCCTTTGCAACCTTATTTGCTATGATATGATGGTGGATACCAATATAAACCTCTAAATGAATAAAGTACATATTTCGGACAACTCAAATTCACAATTGCCTTCAAACAGTACATTTTTTCCAGAGTTTTAGAAACCTCACCTCCCTGACCTGTATCTACTGGATCCTCCAAACAACTCAGTGCTCTGCTTAGTAGGAATTCAAAACTGATCAGGTGTTAAAAACCAATTTACTCCTTGGAGACTCAAAAAACCCCCATTTAACTAATAAAACTGATGTGAAATACCAGTGTTTCAAAATATACCCCCTAACCCATGAAATGTTACATAGCAGAGGAGTTCCATCCATTAGTGCCCCAGACTTACAGCAAAAATGGCAGTAATTAAGAGGCACATGTCACAGTGCGAAGGTTAAAATTGTGACCAGTCATACAAATGGCTCTTTACCCCATTTTCCAGCACTGTAATTACAGTATTTACAAACTCCAATTCTTGTAGATGTATTTTATTTTCGTTAGTATTTCTTCAAATGAAATTGGTAAAAAAATTGCATTGGGAAGTATTACACTATGATATTTGAATAGTTCTATAAAGAAAAAGACAAGGAACCGGATTTTAGTTACAAACTTTTCAAAAAAATAATTTTAGGAAGCACTTTAACTTAAAAAAAAATCAAATAAAAAATACCATGTTTTCTCTCAAAGTGAGCAGCCATCTAAATATGTGTAAGGGAGCATAACTGAGGACTGGAAACAGTACATGCAGAAGTCCTACCTGAGTCTGCCTCATCGCCCGTTCCACTCGACGAGTACTTCCTTTCTCAAGCTTTGTCCGGAGAAGCAAGGCAGAAGTCTGAATGGCCCAGAACTTAGGTTGAGAAAGTAAACACTGGGGAGGAAAAAAGGTTTACAGTTATTTATCATTAGTTTGTTGATTTTAAATGCCATGGGAGAAAAGTGACACATTTGATGGTAGTTCCTAGCCCTTTACTTATTCGTGGTTTAGTGCAGTGGTCTCCAAAGTGGGGTCTGTGCACCCCAGGGGGTGCGCAAGACAAACCACTGGGGTGCAGGAAGAAAATATTAGAACTTCTATTTATATTTATATTAATATACATACATTGGGGGTGCGTGCTCAACATTTTTTTTACTGATAGGGGTGCACGATCAAAAAAGTTTGGAGACCACTGGTTTAGTGAATCAGCCCAAAGTATAATCCATTCAAACTTATTGTCATGGCTTCTACTTGTGAATTCAAGATGATACAAATAGTACTGGTCCAATGTTTTCTTTAAAAGGCTATTAATATGATCCTCTCATCTCCAAGTAATATGGAAGGGCAGAGGAATAGGACTTGGAATATAACTTAGAGCAGGTGAATCAACAAGGAAATCATAAAAGATACTGAGCAAAATAAATGAGGATGAATACCAAGAGGTATAATTTAATTATACAGTGGCTCTAATGCAAGCAAAAAAAGTGTTTTCCTGGTGTCATGGTGTGAACAAAGCTGTGCCTAGAAGTAACTGGTAGCTGCCATGAATCTCTTATGTGCCTTTCCAATGTTTATGGCAGGAAAAGAAATGAAGAGAAACAAATTAGTGTACGCAGTGCAGGTAAGACAGGGTGGTAACTGAAGCCAGGGTAGGTGGAAGTCGCAACTGAAAGTGTGACTGATGGTACTGTGTGCGCTTTCTGCTGTGGCTTATGTCTAACCATAAGGTATTTTACCTTTATCTGCTGGCCCTCCATCTAGTAAACCATGTCTTTGTAACCTCTAAGCTGAATTACTGCAGCCACACTAGAAAAGATCCCCAAAGCATAAGATTTTATAGTGTCCTGCCTCTGAAGGCTGCTACTAGGCCTCATGCTCTCCATTAGTTCAGCAGCCCCATCCTTGTTGCAATCTGAGAGGTTAGTCCAGATCAGTAAAGCTCTAAATGGTCTGAAGTCGTTATGAGGGCTTGGTTTTTCTGTCATGGGAGTTACAATCTTTCACCTTACTCTGGTGGTTCTTAGGGCTGCATACTCCATTGCAGGTGGCAATCAGGCATTCCCAAAGGAGGGTGCACTTTTCTGGAACTCAGTTCCTCCAGTGGCTCATTCAAGCCAGATGTTAAATAAACTTCAGGGACTGTTTAGCTAAGCACTTGAATTATGTTTATTTTAGTTTAAAAGGAGTGACATTTTTGTAAGGAAGGTTTCCCCTGGCTCCCCTTGTTTACTTCCATTTTACCTATTGTTTGATTTACGCTATATGATGTATATTTTGTACTATATGATGTTTTAGTGCAAGATGGATAGTGTAAATGAACTCTTGAAATCCTCTGCAGCCCTATTTACTATGATATGGTGGTAGATACCAATATAAACCTGTGAATAAATAAAATACGTATTTGAGACAACTCAAATTCAAAGTCCTAAATTCAAGGTTCCACAACAAAACTAAAAAACAAAACAAGTGAGTAATTAAATAATTCAAAGGACAATTAATTTCAGACACTGAAATTTGGAAGATTACGCTCTTCATTGCATATTTTTAACAGTAATTTGTAGACAGAAATTAAATACAACCATCTATTGCTGTTGATCAAATATTAATGTGGTAGGAACAGCAATACTTATGACTTGGCTTATGCCTAGATTAGAATTTTTGGAATAGACGAGGGGTCAGTAACCTAGGACCCATGAGTCCTTTTGATCCGGCCCATGGGCATGGGGCCTTGGTGTAACTGGGCAGCAGGGGACTTTGGCAGCAGTCACTTTCCCTGTGCCGATGCAAAGAAAAGTAGTAGCAGGAGGCAAGCATCTGCCACCAGCACAGGGAAAGAACCTGTTGCTGCTGCTCCTTTTCCTTGCACCAGCACACGGAAAGCACCCCGTGCCAGTACAGAGAAAAGCAACAACAGCAGGTACTTTCCCTGTGCTGGCAGCTGGCATCTGTCTGCAGCTGTTACTTCTCCTTGCACCTGCACAGGGAGTGTTCCTCGTACTGGCATTGGTGCTTCCCCTGTGCCAGCATGGGGGAAAAGCAGTGGCAACAAGTGTTTTCCCCATGGTGGTAGCATGGAAAATCAGAACTGGCGGCTGAGTCCTCGCTCCCACCTACTGGCCTACCTATGACCTAAAGTGAGTCAACCTGGCCCACAACCTTAAAAAGGCAAATGTAACAACTGTATCAGTGTCAAGAGATTCTGATATAAGATCTCTGCAGTTGTACCTGTTAACTCTGCATGGTCCTATAGCAATATAAATGCAGCAAAAGCACTGCATTTTTAGTCCTGAATGAAACAGTGTTAAAGTTTTAGCATTTTAGCTAACTTGAGCCACTAAGGGAACATGCAACTACATTGTAACAGCTATGGTAGCCCCTCCTCTCCTTTTAAAGCAATTAAAAGTAACATTTGTCCATAGCTAGGGACCTACTTAACTCATCACGAAAGGAAGCCTTTCTCGTGGCTTGCTTATGGCATGAAAGGCCAATTTCACAGGCATTTCCCAGCAGCTCTGCCCCTCGCTGCATTTTGGTGGAGAGGCCCCACCACTGCCGCAGATAACAAGTCTCAAGCATGTGAGAGTGGCTGCAGGGATCGCTGCATTGTCTAAGTGTCATGGTAAGGGTTGGAAGATTCTAAAACAGCATATTATAGAGTAATATGCTGAGGGTGGGGGGAGTTTGGGTTGATTGTGTGGGAAATCATGGCTGATGGAATATTTCCTGAAAATTGCAAACACCACCATTTTTCACAATTTCTGTGAAAACCGCAAACCCGCCAATTAAGCAGGTCCCTATCCATAGCCTTTATGCCTTAATAAATTTTTGATAAGCAGCAAACTAAGAGCTCAGATACCTAAGCAGCAGCAGAGGGGAAAAGTTGTAATTCAGACGTAACTGTTTCCCATTGATAAGGTGGGCTGGGGTGGCATAGGAACTAAGATGCACAGTTGATAGCCCAGAGGTCAAAAGTTTGAGGCCATAGCAGAAGAGCTCATGGTGCAGCCTGTCAGATTCCAATGAATCTGTGAATTCTGCTAAGTACCTTGTCACAAGGACATGAAAAGGAAAAAAACTGCTGTAGTATTTGTACATTAGTGTATTACTTTTCCCAGTCTTGCTCAACTGTGCTGGTTGGCATGTGGGACGGTGGTGGAACAAAGGTTGCCGCCACACAACAGAGGGAAGGCGTAGTAGGCAACTGTTGGATCCTCTGGATCATGGTGTATGTGTAAGAGGTCTAGTCGGGTGCCTGATGAATCTGCTGAGTCCTGCAACCATCGCACCAAGACCTTTGCCACGTATGCCTAGGCAAAAGTATGGAGGAGCGGAGGCGACCCTAGACCTATCATCCTTTATACTAGTGAGATCGAATCCACAGGCCAGACCGAGTCCAGATGGTTCAGTGCCTCGATGGTTGTAGCTTCTGCCAGAGAGCAACAGATAAGAACTGCTGCTGACTGCCTAACACTAAGTGAGGACATGTTTCTGCCAGGGTAGTGTCCCTTAGCCTTTCTCCAACCAAACAGTAACCACAAGGCAGTAGGTTGAGGCACCCTATCTTTGCCTTACTCTGGAGGTTGCAACATCATGGTATTTTATTGGCGCTACCTTCCCACCAGAAGCCCCACCATCAATACCAAGCACTCCAGTCAGATGCAGTTTACAGTCATACCCAGAACCAGAGGGAAGGAGTAACAACTCTCTAAAATCTGCCTTCCTGCACTCCCCAACTATCCATCCAGGTAGTGCATGCAGAGGGAGTGTGAGGGTTCCTTAGTAGCTAATGAGTCAGCAAGTTAAAGTCCTTTCCTTAATCCAAATCCTCATTTTTGAAGTTACACATAGGCAAAATATCAGGTATACCTATAAAACAGTTATAACTGAGACAACAGACATTTCTCCAATAGCTTTCTTAACGCAAACAAATGGTACACAAGCAGGAAACTTCACTGCTTTTACAGCATCTTAACAAAAATGTGAAAACAGGTGTTCCTTTCAGTTAGACTCATCTGTAATTGTATTAGTACTCAGCTCAGTCTCATGCCAACACTCCCAAATGCACATATTTTCTCGTTGTTAAACCATGATGTTTAAATCAGTACAAAAAATGAGAAATGATTTAAGATAACTGTTTATACTCAAGGGCCTTAACAAACAGCTTCAAAACAAATAATAATAAGTATTATGCAGTCCTAAAATTACCAACCAATTACCATTTGGTACTAAAATTACCAATATTCTGCATATTCCAGAAAATAATGGTTCTAGTCAGTCTATGAAGTCCTAAGATTTTATACTTTCCCCGGTGGCCCAAACCAGACATTATTAATACACAGGACTACACTGTAAAACAGTACATCTGGAAACAATAAACATTAAATGAAGTTTGATAAAATCTTGCATAAGGTACTTTACAATTTGCTGGGCTGTTCTACTTCAGGCAATTAAGAAAACTAATGAATAAAATAATTTCAGAGAAAAGTCTCCTCACTGAACAGTTTCTCAAAGATTCTTTTGGCCATTTTAGAAATTTAAAACAATGCCAATAAAACAAGGAAAAAGAAAAGAAGTTATGTAACTTACTCTGTACAAAATGGAACATTTTTATTTAATCGTTTCAACTCTCCAACCCACAAGAAACTTCTATTTTTGCATCACTATCATTGTTTAAAAAGCATGGAAAGTAAATAAGAAGCCTCTTTTGTTGGCACTGAAAAAATCTAATTGTCTTACTGTATTATGCAGCCACCTATACCAGTGGAGGACAATATTTTTAGCAGGTATGCTGCAAACTAAGTACGTGACCTTGCAGAATGTCACTCAGATCCCCTTCCCTTGCCCAATCTGCTGTTTTGTTTTCTACTCCTTGGCTGAACTGCTGCTCTGCTTCC